ACAAGGGATCTTTCCTGATCCAAGATTCACATTTTTTTCCGTAAGTCTAAAGTAAAATAAACAAAGTTTCTTCTGAGAGTGATGTTTCCAAATTCTTCTACCACCATCACTGAGGAAATCATTTTACAACAAACTGTAGTGCTGACATTAGTATTTCTAACACAGTTCTTTAATAAAGGCAGCTCAGAAATTAATCCTGTTCCACTTTGTCTTGTTTGAAACATTCACTCTCTTTTTGCCCTTGGAAAGGAACAGGAGGAAGGGAACAAATGGACAGTTGTAACATTGCTGGAAGTTTTCCTGCCAGCTCTAGGCATCAGAATCTGTCAGCTTTTCCTGAATCTGTAAAAGCACAGTTATATTCAGTCTTAATTAATTAAAAGGTTTTATATAAAATAAACTGATAGAATCTTATTTGAGTCTATTGATAAATTTGGGTTGGAAGTGGGCAAAACTTCAAGTAAAGGCAAATCTCAAAAAATTACCAGCAATATTCAATCAACTTTTACGGTAAGACTGAATTACAGGCCTGATAAAAAGGCAAGATCGTAGGTCTAGTTAATAGGCCTCATTAGGTACACTGGAAACACATGTAATTTCAGTGGAGTTTGGCTCATAAGCACAATGTAATTATTTGGGACTACAGTGATGATCTGAGAATTAAAAGGGTCTCTCTGAATGCTACAGGAATATGGGAAAATGTAAGATGTATTTTCACATGAGAACAAAAAGGAAGGATAATAAACATTAAAGACTCCACCAACCTGCAGGCAGCCAAGTTTTTTCCAGCATTTGCTAAATTAAACTTTGATGCATTTGGTGGTTTCATGAGGGAAGGAGCCATCTGATGTTCTGTTTGGCTTTCAAATACAAGTTTAAAGTATCAGTGACATAATAGCAGCTTTATTGTAAGACAGACACATGGATCATAGTTTGTGAAACAATTAGTATCCAAATAAAAATCAAAAAGCAACAAATAACCTGCTTTTACATACCCACTGTTTGCTGCTTTCTGCAGTTCAGCCACTTCTGGGTTTGCAGTTCCCCAGCCTAATTTTCAAAAGGCAAAGGATTGAATATGGGTACAAACAGAGAAGATTGAAAGGTAATAGGTCTATTATGTAGGGCTCCTACTCTGTATCTGCCTAATGTCCCACAAACAGGCTCACACAGGAAGGAGAAGGTGGAAAAAAAAAAAGGGGAATGGGGTGCTTTGATATTTGCAATTATAAGGCAACTTCTAACAAGTAGGTTGCTTCTCTAGACAACGATTCACTTACAAACATTAGACTTGTTAGCAACAGAGACTTTTTTACTGTATTATAAGGAAACTTTTTAACTTTATTACAAGTAGACCATAATGAAAGCACTAAAGGCA